AAGTCACCTACACAAGAAAGAAAAATACTGAAGAACAGGTGCAGTCCATGAAAGCAGTCAGTGCTGTAGTGGTTTGGTTGTAAGTAAACATTTTTTAAAAAAAAGATAAATGGAAGGACAACTTCTTATTTAGCTGTTGCAGTAGTAGAGTTAGATGCACCTATTTAGTGCATTTACTAAATTAGTTGGAAGACTCTGCCTTTAATCATCTTAACCAAAGCCATCTGAAAAATTTATGGCTGAGCCCATTTGCCCATTTGGTTTTAGCCCCACAAACAGGCTCTCTCTGGGCAGAAGCAGCACTGAAAATAAACACTCCTTGCTTTAGCAGGGTCCATTTTCACCTATATGCTCACATAACCCAGGCCAGTTGCTTAAGGACCAAGGCTTTCTGTGGTCCAGCTTTCTGGGAGAAAGAGAAGATGGCAGCAATATAAAGGGACATTTAAAAAAATACCTCCTTGCTTTTTAAACATCTTTCTCAAGTAATTCATTAAGATTCAGTATTTATATCACAATACAGATTGTAGCTACTTTCATAGGTCACCTTTTGTTTTTCTGTTTATATGTAAGCTAACATAGAAGTTAGCTGACACTCCTTCTATTTTCTCTCTTCATACTCTGTCAGCCTACATCTTAAATCAGGCATGTAGTGCCTACATGTATTTCTACCCCTGACGACTGACAAGATCTAACATGGTTCTTAAGACAGTGATTCCTGCTAGAAAGAGAAACTTGCAGAGCTAATGGTCATGATATTTCTAGCTCCAGCTTTCCAGTTTTTAATGTTGGAAGAAAAACCCTCAATATACCGTGTACTTTTGGTCATTAAAAGGAACTTAAATATGTCCTTCTGTCACTAGTAGTTGAAGGTGGATGAAGAATAATGAGAAGTGAAATACTTTTCAGCAGAGATTTTTTTAAATGTATTGCTCGATTGGTTTTAGAACTGGTCAAATAATAACAGTATTTATTAAATGGACTATTTAGCCAATAAATTATACTCCTTGTCAAATGCTACTCAAATAATTGTGTTTTATGTGTGTTCACATCCACTGTTTTTACATTTTGACAGCAGAGTTAATGAAGGCCTTCATTTGGTAGAAGTGGGTAAAGTGAGCTAAATGGATATAAATGTGTAGGCAAACCATCTTTTCTGAAAACAACCATATTTCACTTAAAAATTTCCAGCATGATTTAGCACCTGTGAACTCGCCCATCTGTCAGACCCCAATCTTTGATCCTGAACCACTCGGTGAATTCAGTCAGGGGCAAAGATCTTAAAGACACTAAGACTCTGCAAGTTACATAAAATGGCATCAAGTAGGGGGAGATGTGAGAGGTTTCCTGCCAGAAGAGTTAGCTATGTCATGAGCATAACTTGTGCTAAACTCAGAAGAAATCTATTTGGGGAAAAAATGTTTAGACGTACCCTTTTCACAGGGTAATCTTCAGAGCCTAGAATTTCTGAGAAACTGAATTTCCTTGAAGATACAAATCTATAGGAAACCTAGCTTTAGTTTCAGTCTTCACACACAAGCTTTTTTTCTAAGGAAAACATTATTTAAAAAAAAAAAAAAAAAAAAAAAGGAACATGCCCAAAAGCAAACTGAACACAAGACAAACATAGAAATGTTCCTCGTTATTGAATTATCTGATGCTGAATGATTAGTACTGTTGTTCAACTCAGTTGTTAACTCTTAGCTGATTTCCTAGTGCTTAATTCCCATGTAATTTCAAAGAGATTTATGCATGAACTGGGAGTTAAACATAGGCTTAAATGCAGAACTGACATGGGCATTGTATAGACATACATTTAATGTGAAATATTCTGAATCCTGCTTCAGCAATATCTTTAAGCACACTGAGTTGAAGAGATTACTCACATTCCTACAGATCCCTGCAGCCCTGAGGACCACATGGAATTATGGTGTAGTAAGGGATCAGTACAAGGCTCATATCTGAATTTGCCGAGTGGGTTGAACCACTGAATTCTGGCAGTTGAAAGAAGCCTCAATCAGTTAGTTACTTCTTTTCTGCATCTGGCTTGGCAAGCAGTCAAGGAGAACAACAGTGCTCATTTCCTATTCATGTATTATGCACAATTTGCTTTGAATATCTTGTTTATTCTACTACGAGGGCTATATTTTCCTTTCACTTCCCTACTACGTTAGTGGGAAGATGTGAGAATTGAGGACACTACTCAACTATTGAGCCACAGATCAATAGACAAAAAAGTTTTTTAACTGTTTTCAAATGCCTGCAGTGATAAAGCCAGATACATTACTCTTTCCTCTGCCACAGGGGTAGAAACAATAAATATTTTAACAATCCAAAAATAGATGGAAATAGTAATATTGACTAAGCAGAAACAGTTTCCCAGGAGATTAGGCTTTAGTTGGTAGGATTTAAACATGCCTGGCATGTCAAAGCAATGTGACAAGCCAGTGTTTTCATAATGTTCTGCATCTACCTCATAACTTGTTGTGAAAGGATGATGACTGTTGCCAGCTTGCTTTGTTGTTTTGGTTTTTTTTAATATTTTTGAAGATAAGAAAGTGAAATGGCTCTATTTCAGGAATTAAGTAACTTCTTTCTGCCAAAATACTGACAGGAACTCTTGGTGCAGGAAGATAAATTAGAGTTCTGATTCCTGCCTCACAAAAAAATAAGTCAACATTGTTTGAAAGGAGCCTTGCTGTGCAAGCTGTTGTTACTACTTTTGACATTGCAGATGTGAATGCCAAGTGAGTTTTCTATGTGGATTTCTGTACTATGAAATGGAACAGACCGTTGAACTCATGCACTTCGAAGCTCTGATTTCAAAAGTCAGGGATGATTTTAGGGAAGGGGAGGCCAAAAGATTCTGCAAGTGGAACATTTGGACCTCAGTCAATGTCAGCTGTATAGCACTACTTGCAGCCCATGTTTAGTGGGATATTTGCCTTGTTGCCTTTGCCTCTTATTATTCCAGGTTCTCCTGAAACAGCACTTGCAATGTCTTCCTTTCATGTAGGTGGAACTTGAACCTCTACTGAGTTGCCGTCTGTCCACCTCCATTTGAATCCAAAAAAGTCAGCCTTTTCTATGGGTCCAAAATGGCAAATCTCCCACCCAGGCCCTTACCGAGAGCAGCAACAGCAGTTGCCTCCTCCTAGCACATCTCATGTGGACCAGCCTTGTCTTGAGCTACCCTGGTCCAGATGCTTCTGTCTTCTTCTTACGTTACTCCTTTGACCTTGACACCCATGTCCTTATGCTGGTTCTTTACCTGCTGCAGCCAATACATATGTTTTCTTCCTAGGATAAGACCCTTTGTTGTCTGGTGAAGCTCTTTTAGGACTCATTGTCTATTACTGGTGTCATCTATGCTGTCATTTGTATTACCTTTGCCTTTGCTCTGGCAGCAAGCCCAGCCCTTATGCCCTCTGCACCAGACAGACAAGAAGGGTCTTCCTCCACCCTCTTGTCTTCCAAAGTCCTTCTGATGACAGTCGCCCCCAGTACTCTACTCACTGATGATGGTAGGTAGAAAATGGACAATGTCCATCTGGGGCTTCAGTTGCTCCTCTGCTATTTGCCCATGTTACTGTTTGGGTGCCTATTTTTCACCATCTTCTGTAAATACATCTGGGACTGTAAACTTTTTGAGCAGAAACTGGCTATTTTGAAACTCCTGAACACTAATGTTTGATCTGTGATTGATGTTTTCAAACTGCCCTGTGAGGCTGTATCAACACGTCTTACCTGATGGAAAACACCTCTGGCACACAAAGGAAGTGACATGAAAGTCATAACCAAGATGAGAGGTGAAACCATTTATTGCAAACAACCCACAGACAAATAGGAAAACCAGCCATCAACACTTTAGAAGAGGAGGAACAACATAACTTCACCTCCTCACCTTGCCATAATTCTTACATCACCTCTAGTTACGGGCCAGTCCCTTCGCATCAGTTTGCACCCCTTGGTCAAACAGTTTCAATTGAGAGCAGTTCTTCAAACAGGACAACCTCCTGGGCAGATGTGGTTAAGACCATGAGCAGGAGTTCATTTACTTGCAAAGAATGCACGTTAGAAATTAGGGAGTGTAATCCTTTGCTTTTCCAGTTTAAACAGAGATACAACAGACATCAAAGAGGATGCAATATTGCTGGGAGATCACATATTAAATAGCTGTTTAGTGAAAAAATGCTGTAATTATTGCCATATTTTACCCCCCCAAAAAGCAACAGAAAGCGTATAAATATATTCTATATACACAAACAATACAACACAGCTGTCTTGTAAGCATGGATTAGTAGCAAGACACTGTTATAGAAACAGCACATGTTTTCCCTCGGGAAACTTAAAACCCCACAGATTTAGGCCACAGAGAAACAATGTGCTGCTTGCACGCTTGCTTCCCTTCCTAGTTGCTGAGATTACTGTACATTTTCCATTTTGTTCTAAAACTACAAAGTTCTTGGATGAGCAGTCTTTTTTCCATTAAAAAAATTATCTAAGTGCATCCCTCTCCACATTTACATTTTAATATTTATTTTCCTTAGTTAAATCAGACAACATGAAGTTATTTTTACTCTTCAGTGCAAGAGTGTAATTGATGGAGCAATGCCCTTATGAAGTACTGCAGAAAGAGGTTTAGTAGAAAAACATGAGAGATTCATCCAAAGCTAGTTTAATTTAAACAGTTCCATGGCAACATCTGGGGACATAACTTGTGGGAAATGCAGATGCAAATTCAGAATGAAAGATAAGATTCAGTTAAACCAATGTCGTGCAGCTGCTGCGTCTGACAGAGATGCTGCTACATCTAGCAGCATCCTCTTGGATCAGAGGCAGACTGAGCCCTAAGATAAGCAGTCATCCATCTGTCTCATGGCAAGCTGCACCTGGACATCAGGTGGCAACTGAAGTCTTCACCACTCAACTTGCGTTTTCTGATTTATCATTTAAATAGTGATCAGTGTTCAGATGCCCTTCCCCCTCCCATACACTACCTGTGATTGCCAACTGTGTCACGAAGAAGGTCATTCGAGATTTCCGCTTCCTCCTCCAGGTAGAGAAGAGCACAATGGCATTTCCAGCAATGGTGACAATAAAGAGGATCCAAAGAGTCACCAGCTGCTCTGTCTGCATTGGAGAGAAGGAAAAAAAACACATTGGTAGGCAGGTGGGTAGTGACTCAGGTTAAGCCAGTCAGTAACCCTACGACAAATGAGATGAAAATTGAGAAGAGGAGAGAAACGTGATTTTTGCCAATTGATTTATAATTATTTAGTCTAAAATATGTTCTTTCAGGAAATACTGAACACGCATCACTGCTGGTGATGTTCATTCCAGTTTGATTTGTAGTGGCTGTGTATTACTTAGATCTTCATAAAACCACTAGCAGTGTCTGTGTTTGGCCTTTAAAGCTACAATGAAAGTTTTCTCAGTTTTCTTGTGTTGCTCCAGCAAGCTGTGAAATAAGCAGCTGCCTCCCTTTGCCAGGGATATTGATGGATGGGGTTTCTTTGGAGAAATGTGGGAAATGAATACTTCTCTCCTTCTCAGATCCGGTGAAGCCTGGGAAGCCCTATGAAATTCAGCCATCCACTCCATGATCTAAATGTGCACCAAGATTGAAAAGAAAGCGTGACCCACTCGACGGAAAAGTAAAATTGTGATACGCGATGACGAAACGTCCCCTAGTGGTTGTGTCCACAAAGAAAGGAAAGGAACAAGTTATTCCGGCTCAGAGCATCGGGATCCTCTGGTTGCAGGAACAGGAGCGTGACTATCCACGCTGGCTTGTTTTGTGAGTGCACGCCCAATCTTCTGTCTTTTTTGGAGGACCCAAACAACACACTTGGTCCTTTGTAGATGCAGGATAGTTATTTTTCAGTGGCCACGTGTAGGTTTCCAGCTTCTGTGTGGGGTGTGAAGTTTATATTTTCTCCATAGCAGCCAGCCAGCTCTGAGCCTGTGAAACACTGAGCATGGGGTCATCTGGGAGAAAATATTCTGCATTTCTGCAAAATTCTCACTTATAAAAACCTGCCTTAGTAAAGCTGTATGTAATGGCCTGGAGAAAGCTGGTTCTGCTGCTCTTCTGCAAAGACAAGAGAGGGGATTTTTTTCACAGTGACATTTGGATTTGAAGTGCATAGAGCTGGGGAGCTCAGGACAAAAAAAAAATATCCTAACATATCCAGCAGCAATAATACACACATTATTATTAGAATCAAAGAGACAAAAAAGACGTAACACGTCTCAGTTGAATTACTAGTTATAAAGCTAAGCTAAATTTCCATAAGGCACCCTTTTCTCAGAACCTGCTGCTCCTGAGCAGGCACCTGCCTTTAATGTTTCAGGAGAAAACAGTCCATAGAAATGAAATACAAAAAGCTTTTGGCCCCCTGTTCCTGGCAACAAACCTGTAATGTGGAAGCTGGTGGAAAACAGAGAAGGCTGCATTTGAAGAGGATTCCAGCTGATGGCCCAACAGAACTGGCCCCAAGGCACTGTCTTGAGCAGGTGTGGGGAAGGAGGCTTTCAGTGAGACCTGTGCCTGCCTGACTGGGCTGATGATGGAGCAGGAAGGGAGAGCACTCATTAAAGGCATTTGGCAGTCACTAATCCTTCAAAAATTCCCTTCAAAATGTGTGACAGAGACATGGTGGAACTATTTTTTATGAGGATGCTTTTCCTTGTACAGGAATTAGAAGGAAGTGTCTTTTTGGAAAGTAATTAAAATTTTTAAAAGGTACAATTTCATACCTATTTTGTCCTTGAAATCAGTGGGTTCTCCTCAGGGTTTGGTTTTCAATAGCAGTATCTAAGAGATGAGTCCCCAGTCATCTCACCTATCTTGGAATGGCCTGTCTCCACTGACTGTAGAGTGACCTAGATATGACAAGTTGTGTGGGCTGGATGCTTAGCTTTTAGACCAAAAAACCTCCACCTCTGTTAGGTGTCTGCAAATCTCTAATTTCTCAGAAAACAAACAAACAACAACAAACAACATCTAAATGTGTGACAGAGACATGAACTATCTTTTTTATGGAAATGCTTTGCTTTCTACAAGAATTTGAAATAAGTGTCTTTTTAGGAAGGTAATTGAAATCTAAAAAGTTAAGATTTCACATCACTTTTTGTCCTTGAAAGCTGTGGGTTTTCCTCAGGGTCTAGTTTATCTTTTCCATTCCAGAAAACATCTTTCACACGTGAAGAAAACTGAGGGGCAAGGCTCATTCTCATTTTCTCTGGTATGAAATCAGGAGAGCATTTTCTTGAAAGAAACTCTGTATTCCTATATTATACCTATATAGGTACAAACAGAAGAAGGATCTGACACTCACTCATATGATTCCAGCAGAAGAAATAGCTATGGAGCAACAGAGACTGTGCTAGAGGGGTATTTCCCCACCACAGGGGAGCAGCATATATGGACAGATTAAGGCTCCTCCTGCCAAACTGAAAAAACAGTGCTTAACAGACAAGCAATTTTAGGCTAAACCTCTACTGAAATGTACAATTAAACCAGACTACAAAGATAACATAAGAGTTGCAAAAGCTGAATAAATGAGAGGGAAGTTTGAAAGGCCACAGGTAAAGGAATAAAGACAAAGTCTCTATTAATCTCTTTGTGGCAGGGGCCGAGAATAAGACTTCCCTCTTGGGGATTAAGGAGCTATAACAATAAGCACCTTAAATCACTGCAACCTCTCTCATTCTGTGTTAGCTTGCAGAAGGAAAACTTCTGTGGTTACTAATGGGACACCCACAGTGATAAAGGTGTTGATGGAGGTTAGGATTCGAATTCAAAATTATCCTGATGAATTGGAAATACACATCGGAAAAAGCTCAAGATGCCATTCAACAAATGAGAAGAGCAGGATGCTCCAGGGCAGTGGGTGTAATCACACTGGCTGCCTTCAGAACACCCCTATGCATGCAGCATGTAAAATGTCCCACCAGTGGAACAAGGTTTAATAATGTCACCCTTGCACGAGAGTGACAACCACCACCGTGGGATCTACACTAGTCTCATACACCTCTGCTCTAAACCTTCCTACTGCACCCAGAAGCTGTGCTATGCCTACTCCTAGGTGCCCATGCTTCAAAAGAGACATGGAACAACGATTTGACAGCAATCTAGAGGATAGAACCATGTGAAAAGACTGAATTAATTAATTTTCTTAAGCTAGCAGAAAGCAGACCCCATGAAAATACGAACATAGCCCTGAAGACGTAAAAAAGACTGATGTGAAAAAAGGAAAGGAACAATCTCTTATTCAGATCCACTGTAGACTGGCCACAAATCAGTGAACCAAAACTATAGCACAGAATTCATATTGATAATTTTAAAAAATGGACTGAAACATATACCATAAATATAGACACTGATTGAATTGGCAAAACCTCCATCCGTGAAGGTCTTAAAAAAGCTATTAGATTAAACAGATAGCAGATTGATGCTTGAACTTCACTCCAGCTGCATTTTCTATAATTTTGTTTTATTCATCCCCTTAAGGTTGCTTAGACACAGAGGTGTTTCATTTCATGTCTTGTTTGTTCATTGAGCAAAAATCCTCTTTTTGTAACAACTCTCAGCAAAGTGATTTATAAAAAAACCACCATTTAACAACATTTCACAGACAGCAGAGGCAGTTTGGATAAAAAGAAAGATAATAACATCCAAACCCCTGTGTAGAAGCTTTTGGCAAGGGCTGCTTTTGTGATAGGCATTGCTACCTGCATTACACCAGAATGCCATGAGACAGACTAGTATCATAAAGCAGTTCTTTTAGATTGGAAAAACTAAAGATACTGGTGACTTAATTAAGGTCACAGAACAAATAAAAGTTAAGAGGATTTCCTTGGCTTGACTACAGCCATTGCCTGTGTTGCTATTCTACAGGACTGCTGTGTTTGGAGCATGGAAGTGCTTGACATCTGGAGCACATACTCATGTTTTGCTAATTTGCTTCAAGATTAAAACCAGCTTTAGTCAATTAAACAGGCCTCTTCATGGGTGAAATGTGAGCCAGAAATACTGTCTGAAGACTGTGTGCATTTTCCTTTGCTTGTAGAAGAGGGCTGTTAGTTTGTTTCTCTGTATTCATATGTTGTGAGAAGCCTGGCAAGAGGTGTACTCTGCTGCATACTTGAGACGAAGATCATCCCTGCAAGCAGCTTTAATCAAGACCACAGTTAAAGCCTTTCAGACCAATTGGGAGACATTCTGGTGTCATGATGCCATCCCTCCTTCCAGTTCTCCCCCAGCAACTTCTTTGCTCACTCACTTCTCAGGATTTGTATACTCTCTGTCACAGGGCACCAGATGTGGCTGTGGGATGTATCTGATAGCCCATCCCAACGGAGCTGCTGATGCTCATTTTTGAGGTGCAAAAGCCTTTTGCTTGATAGCAGAGCAGTTGTCTAATAGAGGGAGAGGTTGAACTAGCAATGGACTAAGCAAATTTGTACTTGAACAGGAACTCAGCATGAAACAGTTGTGTTCTAGCTGCTGAGGATGCTTGAGAAACAGCCTGGAAAAAAATAGGTGGCCAGGTAAGAAATGAGCAAATAAACAGAAAAAGAGAGGGAGAGTCACTGTTCCTGATGTAACTGGTGGTTTCAGTGTGAAGAAAGGAGGCCTAAAGTGAATTCATGTCCTTGCTGACCTGTGCCTTCCTGCTCCATGCCCTTGGTCACCTTGGTGAAGAAGAGTCACTGATGCCTCTTATCACAGGTGATACCTTAAGTCTCTGAACAGCTTCTTGTGCATTTATTAAATTCTGAGAATATGCAAATAGTCTTATTGCCTGCCTTTTGCATGTTTTTAAAATCATGTTTCTAGTGTAGCCTATTGTAGCAGCTGAGATTGTAGAAGAGATAGAATCATGAAGCAAGCCAAACACTTTTGTAAGGATATTCTTCTTAAAATATAAAAAGAGCACATAAATCTCCTTCCTAGACTAGGGAACTGTAATGCTCAGTCAGGTTCGCCCTGATAGATAGTATTAATTATGCTTTCTTAAAGGAGGAAAAAAAAAAAAAAAAGAGAGAGAAGAATCTCTTCTCACCCTCTCAAATAATCACTTTAATTGCAGGCTATGCAATTAAATGGAGGAACCTTGAACTCT